ATTTGTTAATTGCCACCAAAACTAAAGTAAAAACTTGAGATGAAAGAAACCTTTCTCAGGTTTATATATATATATATATATATATATATATATATATGAAGGGTCTACCAAGGTGACACCAAAACTAAAACCTCTTTTATTCCGGTGCAAAACCCACATTTATGAATGATTTAAAAAGAACAAATGTCAGATGTATTTGATTTGCCAAAAGAAAAAGGTCAAACATGAGACTTCATAGAATTAACTTTTAGAGTTTGAACAGTTTATTTTCTACTAAGACATATTAAAGAAGCAACGTTAACTTTACAGTAACCCCTCTAGTTATAACAGAGCTTAAAAATTACAGAGGCATTTGAAAAACAGAAAAATTCCTATAATGGAAAAGAAAAGCTTGATATACAATTATCCTAATAGCTACTAACTACCTACTGCATCAACTGAATAATATCATAAATCTAAAAAGTTGCATGAAAGAGGCAAGCTACATTATGCTGCCCACGAATATATTGAAACTTAAGCAACAAGGGAGAGCCAAAACAGTTAAATGATTCATATTACATGATATTTCTTTGCAAGGAATAGAGAAACATTATAATTACTATTTCTAGCATAAGAAAGAGGCATAAAAGTATTTCTGTGAGATGAGTAGATTAGTGTATGGTTCTTAATAATCACTGCTGTAATTTCCTGTTTCTAACCACCAGTAAATTTCTGTAGTTGTAAGAGAGGAACTGGCGTACACATGATACACTTGCGTTCTTGGGGATTATATTACTATATTGATTAAAAAATAAAGTTCGGTTTGATTGAGGAATCAGGAACTAGAGATGAAAACAATTTTCCTTGAACTTGACAAATATTGAACAAGACTTCTAACCTTAACCACCGATCTGAATGTCGAAGCCCCATCTGAAAGTGCAGGCCAAAGTTGATCACATTTACTCACTAGCATTTGCAATCCCTACCATATTGAGCATATTCCGGTCCTCCTTAAACCTTTCTAGGACAGTCCCTTTAAGAGCATCTTGTTTTTCTTGCTGGGTTCCTTTCCTAACAACTCCCCAGCATTCTATCACTTCTGGGCAGATTTTACTGCTCTTTGAAAGGCAAGGGCTGTTGAACGTTGCACAAGAGAAAGTGTGCCCCTGATCAAAGGCTGCCGAGAGGAACAGGCCAAAGTGATTAATTCGCCCTCCAAACCCAATGCCATTTGGAATGGCCTCTGAACTGAAACTCACAGCACACTGCCAAATGGAAATTGCAAGCTACATAAGTCAGTTGAACAAAACAACAATAGGCAGTTGAACAACGATAATACTGAGGGCCAAAAATAAAGACTGTAGGACTAAAAACATGTGTAAACATAAAAACAAAGCACGAAAATGCGAGTCTACACTGGAAGGAAATGCAATACCACCAACCATGGGAACTGGGTGCTACTTTCCAACTAAAGTAGAAACTTGAGACAAA